GTCCTACATATTATTAATTTTTATCACACTTATTTCTTTTCAAGTATATTAATTAGAGCCAAAATAAAGGTGAAAATAATTAATTCATAATGAATTTTAATATTAAAGTAGGCATTTTTTATAAGCATAATGAATAGAACAAAATATTAAGAATTAAATTAAAATAATAGTAAAATAGAGTAGTGAATAGATATTACAATAACTCACAAAAGAAAAGAAAGTGAAGTAATAACAAAATAAGTTAATGGTAATAACAATAACAAAAGATGTTCTAGAACTATTTAATTTTCTTGATATCATTCTTGGTAGATTTTTATTAGCGTGAAATTATATTTTTACCCTTGATCATATTTCACTTAATATATAAAAAGATGTTTCTAGAATTATTTATTTTTCTTACTATCTTTCTTAATAGATTTTTGTTATAATGAAATTACATTTTATTCTTGGTTGTCTTAACTGCAAATATATCATCCTATTCATTTTTATTTGTAAAGTTACTTTTTAAATCTTTTTCTTAATTTCGATCTAATATATATTATTAATTTTTATCACACTTATTTCTTTTCAAGTATATTAATTAGAGCCAAAAATAAAGGTGAAAATAATTAATTCATAATGAATTTTAATATTAAAGTAGGCATTTTTTATAAGCATAATGAATAGAACAAAATATTAAGAATTAAATTAAAATAATAGTAAAATAGAGTAGTGAATAGATATTACAATAACTCACAAAAGAAAAAGAAAGTGAAGTGCCTAGCCATTTCACTCTACCTGAGTAATAAAGTGGAAACCCCCCTCACGATCGATTAAAAGGAAAGTCGCCCAGAGATATTTGTTCAAATTCAATTCGTGAAGATAGAGTAAATTCAAAATCTAAGGAAGCAAGTCCTTGGCCGCACTATCTATCAATCAAGAAGGTAAAGGAGAGAAGGTTTGATTGAAAGTAGTACGTCTGCAGGGATCCATCGTTAACGATTTGACCGGGAAATGCACCATTGGCTGTGAATAGACATTATTGAGACTAAATTGGGTATATTGTTGTTGTATGTTTAGTGGTAGTACTTAGGTAGAACGAGTTACATTAGACCTCAAACATACCTAAGTATCTAATAGTTTTAGCTTCATACCTCATTTGTTGTGCTAAGAATTAGTATCTAGGAAATCAATTGCTTCGTCACTTTAAGAGGTGAACTGTTGTGAAGCTGTGTAACTATGGTTGCTAGGTGCTGAAGCGAAGCACCTTTGAGAAGTGAGTGCTTTGGCAAAGCGATGTTAAGCGTGAAGTAGTATGAAACATCTTTCCTTTATATTTTTAACATTTAAAAAGGTTTATTTCTAAGCAAAAAGAAGTTTGACATCAAAATTTTACATTTCACATCTTCTCCGATGATTGACTTTCAGGTAAACATCTTTTCTATCTTCTTCTTTCTTCTTCTACTTTTCTATCTTCTTCTTTCTTCTTCTACTTCTCCATCTTGCTATGTTTTCTTCTTCTTTCTTCTCTAGCGCTCTCTGTTGTCTGCGCAGCTCTGGCCTCTTGTTTTTCTTTCTTTCATCTTCTACTTTCTCCATCCTAATTTCAAATGTAACATGTGATTTTGATGAAAGACAATTCAGAAGAAATTGATCACAACTTACAAGATGTTCTGTTAGTGTTTGATTTATAAATAGTATATATAAGTGTAATTAGTAACTTTCACATGTGTACATATTCAACTACGTAAATATTCCACTTCAACATCCAATAGTATGACGTTCGCAAAATATGTAGAAATTTTGCAGTTACTATGTTTAAGATAGTAATATTTTAATTTACTTTATATAATGGTGTTTATATGTGATTTGACTGTCCTCAACTTCATATTTCTATATAATAGAAAAATATCAAATTTTGGCCCGGCAACTTTAAATTTAAATCAAACTTACATTAGTTCACTATTCAAATTAATATGTTTGAAATCAAATAAAATTAAAAATTTAATTATATATTTTAATGAAGAACTACTCTTTTATAATCTAGTAAACATTTTTAGTTTACTTTAAATGCAAATATACCATCCTATTCATTTTATTTGTAAAGTTATTTTTTAACATCTTTTAAAACATTTTTTTTTAATATTGAAACTAATTTTATTTATTCTTTAATTTCAATTATATATTTTAAATTTATCACACTTATTTCTTTTCAAGTATATTAATTAAAGCCAAAATAAAAGTGAAAGTTAATTATATTTTTAAATAATGAATTTTATATTAAAGTAGGCATTTTTATTAAGTATAATGAATAGAAAAAATATAAAGAATTAAATTAAAGTAATAGTAAAATAGAATATTAATGAGTAGATATCACAATAATTTATAAAAAAAGTGAAGTAATAATAAAATGAGTTAATAGTAATAACAATAATTAAAGATGTTTCTAGAGCTATTTACTTTCTTGTTTGATTTCTTGGTAGATTTTTGTTTGCGTGAAGTTACGTTTTTACCTTTGATCATCTTTCACTTCATATATAGAAAGATGTTTCTAGAATTATTTATTTTTCTTACTATCTTTCTTAATAGATTTTTGTTATAATGAAATTACATTTTTATTCTTGGTTGTCTTAACTGCAAATATATCATCCTATTCATTTTTATTTGTAAAGTTACTTT